CCAATATGGCATCGATTTTGGAAATAAGATTTATGAGTACTCCTCTCCTAATTATTCAATGAAAAAAATACATTGTAACACCCTGTATTAAAGACAGACCTGAAATCAGCTTTTTATAAATCTGCAGGTGCAATCGACAGTTACCATCGACGGACCCGTAGTCTGATCTACGGCCCATACTATACATCCATCATTTGCCACTGAAGCTCCCCCAAGACTCAGCCTAGAAAATCGAGTAAGTGTCGATTCATAAACTTACATACGGTCTATAAGTCAGAATACGGTCGGTCGTTTGTGTCCGCAGATTGATACTCAAGTTACCTAGCCTCTAACATGAACTACGGATGGCCAGTACGGACTGTCATTTAATCTACAGTTTGTAGGTCTGATCGTAGGTGAGGTAAGCAGTTAGTTAGGGGGAATTAGCTGCTAGGGTCAACTTCAAATAGTCATAAATTGTATCACAAAATCAATTAGGTGCTCCATTACCAATTATATAACAGATAATTGAATTAATCTTTCCATAGCCACCTAGTTTGCTAAAATATAACCTCTGAGTAAAAAGTTATACCTATTTTAGTGAAAGCCTGTCGAGCAGGCCCAAACAACGGACGTCGATTGCACGACGGCCTGTCAGTCCAGATCGTCAATTGGTCTGACTGCAAAAATTTTAGGGGTATTTTGGTCTTTTCCTAGTTCGTTTAACCTCAAAGATACGTCATTTAAGCGCTAAATTATGAGATTTTAATCAGTTCAATCCTAGAAATATTACAAGAACTTACCTAAGTCAAAATCATAAATCAAAACTTAGAAAATTAGAAGCAATAGAGGATAAAAAGGTTAATAACCCTAGTTTTAGAACACAACAAGGTTCCAACAGTTCCAGCCCCCAAATCTAAAGATTTTGTCTATGGATATCATCACTAGGTATGTGGGATTTCACTAGTAGGTTCCTTTCACCCATTAGATCCCTAATTTTCAGCAGATTCTCGATTCCCTTATTATGATTAGACGTAGGGTTTCTAGAACTTCAATAGAATATCATGAATTAGTTAGTTATATGTTCCAAGTCAGATTACCATGTTATTACTTAGATTATTGCATAATTTCATAACCCTAGCTATGTATTTCTTTAATTCCTTAATTACACATATTAGGTCAGATATTTCAGTTATTCTGTTATACATCCCTTAGTTATTAATGCATCATTATCAGATTAATTGATGCATTCTCGGTTCACATGTTCACTTTTGAGGTATCCAGTATTTACAGAAATTTAGTGATAATGTGTTAATCACTTAATTCATTAGGATTAGCAAAGTACCGAGTTGTACTAGGGTTCAGCGTACCCAATCAGTCGCAAAACTACTAGTAAAGTAGGTTGTTAGTCCCCTCTGTGGGCATCAGTTTAGGGAGCACGCCAGCATGCCTTTAAACCTTTAGCAGGGTATATTGGATCCTCTCGATTGAGCGTATATATCAAACTCCACATTTAGCTCGTGTGATTTCATTATCGGTTATTAGCAGCTCACATAGTTCAGTCAGAATTTATTGCATTTGCAATATTTACAGTTCGGTTAGTATTCAGTCTCAGCATGTTATAAATTTGGTCATTTCATCTAGTTAGCTAAGAATTCAGTATATCATGTTCAGATTATATCATTGCTTTATTTCTTATTTAGTTATGTATTATTTCAGCTTAATTCTATCATGCATGCTATGTACCTTTCCAGTATTGACGCATACGTGCACGACATCTTCACGTTATGTAGGTTCAAGTTCTCAGTATTCAAATCACGCTTAGATCGATTCTAATCTCCAGTTTAGCAGAATCAGTGATAAGTCCTCATTCTCCGAGGACAATAGTCATGAATTCATTTCATAATTTTAGTCCTTTAGTTTCAGTTTTTGCTAGACTTAGTTGGGGCCTGTCCCAGCATTTCTAGTTAGTTAGAGGCTATTTCTAGACATATTTAGTTTAAACTTAGTATTGAGTTGATATGTTTTGTATTAAATTCATCAGTTTTCAAATATTTCATTTATAGTATATAGGTGTTCCCTATCTTTTCATTTTAATTATGATTTAGATTCTGCATCAGTTTATTATCTTTAGTATGCTCATGATCATACCAGCAGGGTTAGCTTGGGATCACTTGTGGTCATGGGTCCTATGTCCACGTCTTGGGGGTAGCTTGGGGCGTGACATACATAATGACATTGTGAGAAAATTCACCCGGTACCACCTAAAGATTATTGGATTTTCTTTGGATATCATAGAGAGAGAAATACCTCCTCCATATGTTGATCCAAGCAAACCAGGAAAAAAGAGATATAAGAGATGACATGGAGTTGGTGAATTATTTCCAACAAGAATAAAGAAGTTTTTTTGTATGTAGGGACTCTGACCACAAAAGAACTACATGCTCAAATTGAAATGCTCCATAAGTGTTGTTGAAATTAAATGAATGTTGTTTTATATTTGAAGATGATGTTCCCAGGCATTTTTATCTTAATTTGAATCAACTTCGTTTATTTTATGTTATTTATATAAAATGTATGATTTATTTAAATATGTGTTGCTACTTACAACAGAATATTGCATATGTTCCAACATATTTCAATTATTTGTTACATTTTACATCAGAATATTGTATATGTTCCAACATATATCAATTATGTGTTAGAAATACCACAGAATAACGCATTCTTTCAACATATATTAATTATGTGTTAGATCTTACAATATAATATTGCATATGTTCCAACATATGTCAATTATGTGTTACAAGTACCACAGAAAACGAATCTTTTAAAAAATAATTAGGTCTAAGGTGTGTGAACAATCAATCAATCATATCATCAATGTCATTGGAAAAATTTTTACGAAAAAAACTTAATTATGACACTTCAAATTTACTATTCTTTCAAAAAAAATACTTGCATTTGAAAAGTCAGAAGTTATCTCTTCTCTTTTGTTCTCTTCTCTCCTATCTTCTTCTCTTTATCATCAAAGTTGCAACTTTTCAAATTTCATTATCTAAGAAGAACACAACTAGGTCCTTTATTTCAATTTTATCCCACACAGAAAGGAAGAATATGAATAAGAAATCTTCAAAAATATATGACTATGAGTAAAGAACTTCATTGAATCCTTTACGAGGGAACTATTAATTGATACCATTGAAAGGATTGCTTTCTACTCCCTACCAGATTTAATGAGTGTTAAATTAAAGTATGTATGTATGAATCAATTTTCGCTCTTTAAGTTGATTCCTAACCATTGATTTGATTTCTCAGTTCTAGGGTCCTCAATCAGGTCGTTAATGAACCTTATGTATATCAGAAGGTAACATTGGTCAACTTTCTTTATCGTACATGGTTGATTGCTTAAGAAACCATTTCATTCCTGGAAATGTGCAGAGCATTAGAGAATTTAGAAGTCTTATACAGAAAAGGAATGATAATTTTAATTTTGTTTCGACTATATTCATGTTTTTATCAATGTATTTTGCATTTGAAATGTGTTATTTCTTATTTAGTATGATTTTTTCAACTGTAACAATCCAACTGCATAGAGAATGATTAATGAAGCAGCAGAAGGTGGACACAGTGGTGAATCCTATGTTCTTGCCATAATTTCAATCTTCATTGGTGGTGAATCCATGAGATAATGCTTAATGTTCATTTCCAACATTAGAAAAATTGAGCCACTAAATGTCAGAAGATGTCGACATCATTTGTGAAATATTTTAGGTGGAATGTGGGTGTCAGGACCTCATTTGTTGTAATGACCAAGTAAATCAATATGATAGTTATATAATACCCTTGTAAATCGTTGTTCCAAGTGTTGTAGAATATTTTTATTGCTTAGTTATTGTCTGGAGTACTAAAATTTGGTCCAAGTTGATATTTTCATTTATAAATTACTCAATTTATCGATTAGCCCATCTTTGAAGAGTCATATGTGGCAACATATACAAGTTTTGTTGGATAAATTGCAACAGACTTGTCATATGTGGAAACATATGCTTATTATAAAATATCACCTGATTGATCATGTAATGTAACGACGGATCATTCTAGAATACTCCACTCACATACAATTCACTCAGTCTCACTCATTATAAAAGAGTTAATCACGGGTACTTTAATTCACAAAAAAAAGGATCTTGGTTTTTTATTTTCCTTCTTTTATTTTTCTCTCCTCCTATCACTGTAAAAGAAGATGTTACCACCTTGGAGAAATTCAAGTCTACGCATGCTCTTGTTTTGGGTAATCAGCGTAACTACGTTGTTCTTCAAGTGTGTTCTCAGTGCGTGGGTGATTTGTCTGTTTTTCTCGGATCTTGTCTACTGGAGGGTAGCTTCATCATTTGGCAAGTCTTCTTACTTTATATATAACATCGTGTTTATGTTTATGTTTATGTTTAATGTTTCCCTTGTTATGGGGTAGCTAACTATGGTTGTTTATATTTCTGTAGGTGGTCGTGTGAAAGAGTGCATGGGTAGATCTGATAAACCACCCTATAAGAACGAATGGTGATGCCCCTCCAGGTTTAATCGCTCAATCTTGAATCTGGATCCTCTAATCAAGTCCTTTTTTGCTGGCTAAAGCACTAGTATAGGGCTAGAGCATTTCAAATGTATTTTTTTTGTTGGATTTAGCACCTTGTAAATGTGGATAAGTAGCCTAGGATAGCCTTTCATGTCACTATATCAACTAGTTATTTCAATGGCATGTTATGTTTATGGATATGTGTTTGAATTCCTCTCTATTAATGGTGATACTACTTGCATGTACACATGATTGGCATATGTTACAACAACTTTAAAGTGTAAGCACTTTATTAAAGTCATAAACAATTCCAACCTCTAAAATTGGCCCAACAGTCCAAAGGCAAAACCTTAAAAACATAAGTACATTATTTCGTTTCTAGAAGGGATACATATAAATTAAGGTTTTCATTTCATTTTCTTACTCGCCTCTTAGGTCTCACCTCTTATCTTTCTCTCTCTCTCTCCTCATCTGCACTTCAATCTATTCGCATGGATCTCCGGAGTGCATGGGATGCAATTATGTTATTTTATTTCATCAATATTTTTTCGGTCAATCTTTTCTGTTCTTTATTTTTTAACACACAACTATTTGATCAACCTTTGGTTAAACCAAATCTCAAACACTGACATTATTACCAAATCAATGAAATCATTAATTTTGCAATATAATGGTTAGGTAAGTCTTTAAAATATAGATCAGTATTACTTTAGATCTAATGAATGGGTTTTGTTTCTTTTTGTTGCTTTTGATATAATGTCAAATGCAATATTGAATCGAATTTGTAATGATGAAAGTGATCCCATGTTGGGTGTAAAAATCTATTGCAAACATGGTGACTTACTTTCAATGAAAAGTTCATGGTCGAAGGACAATCCAGGTCGAAGATTTTGATCTTGTCCACGCTATCGTGTACGGACATTTCTACATCTTAGTCTGGAGACTTCTCTTTATTTTCTTTTATTATTTAAATTTATTTGTGATATGTATTTTAAGAGAATGCATGCAACTTTTTTAGATGGAGGAATTATGAAGATGTTGATATACGATCCAAGTTCTGTATTCTGACATTGGCGAACAAAATTAAGGAGTTGGAAACTGATGATGAAAGTTATATTAAAAGAAATAACAAATGGGTGATGATGAAGAAGAAGAAGAACACCAAATGTTGTAACAACTAGAAGCTAATCTTCGTGTTGTTTGTTGTGATTTTTTTCTATTTTTTAAGCATTACAAAGAAAATATTATTAAGAATGGAAAATTTTTATGTAGTTGAGTACAACAATTAAAATTATCATAGTTGTGGAAATAAATAAATGTAGTTTTGCACTCCAAGTCCGGCATTTTTACTTGTTCTTAACATAACATATGAGTTAAATATCGCAACATATGAGTCAAATGTTGCTACATATCACACATCTTTAGTAACATGTGACCAGAAATGTTACTACATATGATCCATGTTTGCTACATATAAGACATATGTTGCTACAGGTGACTTATTTCTTACTACTAATGCCTCAAATATTGCAACATATCACCCTTATGTAGTAGACCATTTGAAGCAGATGTTGCTACATATGAGACATATGTTGTTGCAAATGAATAATCTGGTGCTGCAGATGCCTCAAACATATTGCAACATATCACCCTTATATAGTAACTTTGACCATTTGAGGCATACATTCCTTCATATGAGACATATGTTGCTAGGGATGACCCATATATTGCTACATATGTTTCTACAGATGATTCATATGTTGCTACATCTGAGACATATATTGCTAAAGATGACCCTTATGTTGCTACATATGAGACATATGTTGCTACAAATGACCCTTATGTCGCTATATATGAGACATATGTTTCTACATATGATCCTTATGTAACTACATTTGATTAAGTACTTGCTCTCAATATAATATCACATACTATATACTTGATCAGAATTTAAGATAAAATAACATAAGTGATAAAATAAAACATTGTCTTTAATTACAAACACATCATTGTCAAAGCTTAAATCTCCTGATACTATCTCACAGCCCAAACCCATTGCATTCGATCAACTGCATTGTCACACAACATGGTTTGGGGAGGTTGAATTGTTGTCCTGGTAATCAAATGATCCAATAAAAAATGCATGTCCTATTGTGCACGCAAATCCTTCATTCTCGTCAATCTCAACACTTTATTTTTTTCATCTATAGCCACACGCTTATAGGCATTTACCTTTTTGAACTCTAACACCTCCTCTTCTACGGTCATTGTCCATTCTCCAAAGATCTTCATCTTCATATTTTGTATTGTCTTGGTAAAAGAAATTTTCCTCCCGTGTCCTGTGAAGTATATAGATGTTGAACATTCTTTTATGGAATTCCCTTGAACCCCCTCTTGTTTTTAAAATCATTGACAGCCTAAATCGGTGTTTGAAGATACATGATAGAGTCTTCATCTTGTTTCTTTCACTTCTCACCGAGAAAGCTAGAGCATCTTCTATAAGAGGTATCCCCTTGGTTTTGTCCACCAGCAAGACCAATATCACCACCAACATCAACACTAGCACGAACATCAATACCACTACCAACATCAACCCCATCAAAAATACTAAGTCATTATCAACTCCGTCTCTTTTGATGGTTCTTGCTTTAACCAATTCCATTTTAACTATATCCACGACATGAGAAAATAAGAATTCCACCAACCCTAGAGTAATTAGATATGGAATTTTTAATTCATTTTCTGTAGAGACAATCCATGGGTGCACAACCTAAAATTATAAAAATAAGTCATCTATAGGAATATTTGGAACAGTTCTGTCACATGTTACAACATATGCATCATCTGTAGCAACATTTGGGCCATATGTAATTACAAATGGGTCAAATGTTGCTACAGATGATGCATCTATTGTGACATATGGGCCATCTGCAACACCAGATGACCCATCTGTACAACAATTGATATATATGACAATTTTATATTTTTAATATAACAGCTTCAACTTACTGCATCATGAGGAGGGTCAAAGAGATCTGGAGGAATTTTGACATTTTTTTCTCTGAACCAATATCCTTGGAGATGAGGTCTGTTCATCTCCAGTTACTTGATGGGTCAAACGAGGAATAACATCAAATGCCCAAGCCTATAAAATGGAATAAAAGTCACAAATCAAATGTTGAATTATTCAATAAAATATAAAAAGATTAAGAACATTTATATTTACCATGAAAGCCCATGGAAAGACAAAATAAGTTATTAGTCTTTGGTCCTAATGGTTTCAACAAGTATTTGACAATTAATTCTAAGTTGTCATGACCCCAATGATAGTCTTTGAAAGCCTCAATATCCTGAGATAAATTCACCTATTTGATCGATATGTTGTTACCATCTTTGGCCAAAAGTACATTATGTACAAACCAAAGTTAGCACAATGAATCTCTATGCTTCTTTGATGTATCCTCGTCATTCAACAAAAATATTAAATCGGGATTCTTGAAGTTTGTGCCAACAAGGGACACCAAGTCCTTCCCCACAATTTGGTTGTCTTGTTTCTTTTTTTCTCATTTCTTTCATCTCTGTGGTTTTTTTACTATGAATTCTAGGATTGGCTCATAAGGAGGATAGCTTTTTCCCTATGAAACAATGGAAAACTCTCTTCTGCCAAAGGAGAGTGACGTGTCACAATAATTAATTAAAATTTCATCCTTTTGTTAAGGATTTCAAAAAATCACCTTCTTTTCAGAAGTTCATTGACCATGGTCATTTGAAAACGTGCATTATTTTTCTCTGGAAAATCAAAAAAATAACCAAACCAACTATTCCTAAAAGAAATCCAAACCCAAATTTTTTAGCATGATCCTGAAGGTGTCGAAATTTCTTCCCATGGCTGACATGATAATGTTATCACCAGTATCATTAGGCTGCAAATGCATAGGGAAAGTGTCTACATTGATAGTTTTGATCCCATCATCATCCTCGACTTCATTTTGTTTTCCTTTATCTTCATCAACTTCATTTATATTTTCTTATTACTCCTCAACCACTTCTTTATTTTTTTTCTTCTTCTTCCTCAAATTCTTCTCTATTCTTTCCTTCTTCTTCAACTTCTTTTTGTCTTGCCTCTTCTTCCTCAACTACTTCTCTATTTTTTCCTGCTTCCACAATTGCTTCTCTATTTTTTCCTTCTTCTTTCTCAACTCTTTTTGTTTTCCTTTATCTTCTTGAACTTCTTTTTAATATTCATTCTCTTCCTCAACTTCTTTTTTTCCTTGTTCTTCCTTAATGTCTTCGACTCTTTCTCCATAATCACCAACTTTATTTTTCTATTTTTCTCTTTCTTCATATCCTTTTTGAGAAAATTCTGGTTCTACTTAAGAAGAAGAATCTGCTTCAGATGCAAGTTCTTCTTTCAGTCTTCTTCCTAGAAGTTTTCATCCTAGGCTTCTTCTGAATCTTTGTGTCAGTTAGATCAATTTTAATTTTGAGATGAGCCAAAATATTTGTATCTGCAACCACAAAATTAAATATTTCTTAACAAAAATAACAAGACAACACACAACACAATACACAACAACACAAACAAAAAATACGATTCAATACCACACATGAACCAACACAAAACCCTCCCTAAACTAGAACCAACAAACTAAAAATTAAGCTTTTTGAAATTAGATTATATTTCAAAAAGAATAACTATCCAACTAAAAAAGTGATAAAACCACTAAAATGTCCTAATTTGATGCCAGCAAGTATTTCAAACCGTAATTAAAATTTACCTGAGAAGATATCAACAATAAGCTAGAAATGATGAGGGTACGACGCCTTGTTGAAGAAGAGGATCACAATCGATAACCACTAATGTTGTAGAAAATATTGCAACAACAATATTGGTCTGTGAAGAAATAATGGAAAGAGAGAAAGGAAAGAAGAAAAAAGAAAAAAGAAAATGGATATTAGTAAAATAAATTTAATTTGGAATATGAAACGTCCTTTTATATGGGAGAGAGACTAGAAAAATGATGGGAAGATTGTTTTAAACCTTTATTAATTTTGATAATTCAAAGTGTGACATATGTTCTCACATATATATTTTTTGTTGGGGGCTTATATCTTTTTTTGGTGACATATGTTACAATATAATATTGTCACATATCTCCTTTCTGTGACATATGTTACCATACATCTTATTTTTGTGACATATGTCGCCACATGTATCCTTTCTGTTGATGCACATGCAGATAATTCTGTGGTATTTTTTACAATAGAAATTATATATGTTGCCACGGTCACCATATTTCTTCCTTCCATCATAATAGAAATTTATTCCAACAAAATAAAAATAATAATAATCATTTATATTAATATTATCAACAAAAATTAAGACTTAACCAATTTGTTTTTACAACTTATCAACAAAAAGATAATCCACAATGGTATACATAACCATCAATCTAATCAATGGTGGTAACCACTCGAACTTCGATTTTTTAGGTCTAGGCCTCTGTGGGTCTTCATTGTAACTAACATAGTAATTTTGAGCCTTTTTAAAATCCCATAATTCTATAGGAGTGAAGAATATCTCATATGAAGTGTTTCAGAACTAATTCCACAAGATGGTACTTGTATTCCATCACACGAAAATGTAACACTTTGAAAATCCAAGGCGTGTCGTAAAGCCTAAAATAGGTTTCATGAGGTCTAATTACTGTTTTTAAGTCTATTTTTATGAATTTAGGTCATTTAGGATGTTTAAGAATCAAAACGTCCAAGAACGTCCATGACGTTTGAAAGTTGGTTCAAAGAGGTACTAGCGTGCCTTAGCCTATTTGACTAGCTTTTAGGAGTTGGAACTAGGTGTTTGAGTTGTTTCATGGTCGAAACCTCCGGGTAAGACTCCCCAAGGACCAACCAAGGGCCTCTTGAGGAGGACCCTTGAAGTTTGAAGCAACATTGCATGCGCAGTGGTTTAGGAGTTAGTTATGGATTAAGGGGAGACTAATTAACTAACTTAAACTCCCATATAAAGGCCCCAACCCCAATTAACCTAATTACAACTCTCAAATACAAATTCTCTTCCTTCTCTCTTCTTTCTCTCTCTACTTGAACTCATCATTGAAGACTAGCAAGGACAAGGGTTTGGGGGGATGGAAAGGGGAGAATTCACCAATATAATTGTCATAAAACATTACGTTATGGGATATAATTCACCTTTGAGACTCTTTCCTCAGAGGGTTCCTTCAAAATGGATTTTGAAAGTTGAGTTTTTTTTTTGGGTTTCATCCAATTACAAAATTGAAGATATGGATTGAGTTTTTAATGGTTTTTTTAGGTCATATTGAGTAGATAAACATGTATTTTAACTTGATTGTGATAATTGCTTATGTTTTGGTATAAATTAAAGAACATGATCCTCAACCCCTAACCCTAGATTGGATCTTGACCTATATTGTATCGTGATCATTTAATTGACTTGGTTAATGATTAGATTACAATCCTATGGTGTTATTATAAATAAATTAAGATGAATTATATGCCTATCATGATAGTTATTGAGATGTGGTTTAGGTTATGAAGCACATTGTGAAATTGGCCTATGTATCTTGTCTTAAGCTATGATCTAGTGTTAAATTGTGTTATAGAGATGCAATTGGCCTTGTTATCTTATTGGTTATCATTGTGTGATGATGTTACTCCTCTAATTGGGTTGAGTTATGGGTCGATGGTAAGACCTTGATGATGTACTATAAGGAAGACTTGGTAAGTCTTGGAATCTCTATCTTTACTTCCAATTGTGATTAATTTGTTGTTAAGTCATGATGTTATATTGGAGTATGTATTATATCAGGATGATAGGATGGTATGATGTTGAATAGAAATTTCTTGATTATGTCGTGAGGTTTATTAAGGTGTATGTGATATAAGGATGGTGATAATTATCAATATGTCTTGATATGCTATGAAATGTTAATGTGTTAACCTCACTTATATGAATTGTGATGAAATGGATATACACATACAATTCTTATTGAGTTATTGATGATAATGATTATACAAGGGGTAGTCCCTATGACCTAAACTAAGCTATGATTGATAATTAAAGGCTTAAGGGCATTTCAATAAAGGGACTTAGCTTAGCACCGAGTGAACTTGACAATGGGAAGTGATGACTTCCCAAAAAGGAAGATTTGCCGTATAGTTCTATATGAGATGTTGACTTCCTAAAAAGGAATACTCCTCCAATGTATTTCCATGAGAGGAGGCCCCAACTACCAAGTGGTACCAAGATGGAATGTACTATCTCTTAGTTCTTGAACTATGTTGCCCCATATGAAGACTAGCTAGTGGATCCACCTAGAAAGTTATGTTTATGTTTGTTTATACTTTGGCCGGTAGACCATCTTCCATTGGTGTAAGGTTTTACAACACCGAAGTCCACACTTATCTCTTGTGATCTGTGTCGGTTAAGGAAAGTTTTCTCTAAATTAAAATAAAGTAATAAAGTATAAACTAACTAAGGTGACTTGAGAGGTTTAACTTAGCCTAGGTAGAGGTATGGGACTCTACCTATGCCTTGCACTAGGTGACCTTGATGGAAGCTTTAGGAAGTTGATAGTATTTATGCATATGATAATGATATATAAGGTAATAATCTGTGGATGCTACAATGTAAATAACCATATATGATGATGATTATCCTCTTGATATATGTAGTTGGATTATATTGTTAAAGTTGGACATTGGTTATGTTTTCTTGTTAAGTCTACTTGGTTGAGCAAGGTTATGGGGCTTTGTTTGGTCATTGCACTTGTTGACTTTTTAAGGATTCATGAGTAATTGTCTTGCTTTAAATGGTGTGATTCACCCTTAACCATATTTGTGAGGTTGTTCTTTGATGGTAGGGTTGTAGTAAATTATGAGTTCAAGTATGTTGGGATATATATTACTTGTTTGAGTTGGGAAGCATGTTTGGTTGATTGGTATGACTTGTTTGGTTATGCATGAGACTTTTAAACTTGTAAAATGGCATGTTTTGACTAAAAGTCCCTTTTTAGCATATTTTGACATTATATGTGCATATGGTCTCATATTTAGTACATGTGGAGTACTAACCCCATTTTCTTCCCTTTTTCCCAACATTTTAGATTTCGGTCGTTGAAGAGTTTGGAAGACGACATTGTTGAATGCTTGTATTCTTCATTTCAACCAAGTAGGTAGGTCCTCAACTTCCGAGGGCAATACCGCTATCTAGCATTTCGTACTTGTTATGAGTTTAAATACTCTTTCATTTCTTACCTTTTCAATTGAGTACTATACTTTTGTATGACCTATATGTGGTCTTGTTGGATTGATGTAAGGGCTATGCCCAAATTTGGTATATTCCAAATAGATGGTTATGAGATGAGACGACTTTTATGACTTTGGTATTTTCTATATAATAATGTACAATAAAAGTAGAAGGCTATGTAACCTTCCTATACGAAGGGTTTATGTATACTCGATAAGACTATATTATGTGTATATAGAGGTCTATGTAAACCTCCAAGTAGATGTAATAAAAAGTTTTAAATTTTTTCGCAATTTCAACCTATGATTGTAATGACATGAGATTAAGAGGCTAGTCTTAGTCCTTAAAAAGGACGACAACGCATTTTACGTTTAAAGGGTAAACATGGATGTGACAAAAAATCTCAGCGTATGCAACAACAAAAAGTCCACAATCTCTGTATGGTATATCATAAATTATAAAATATAATAACATCACATTTCGATAGTTGCAAGATAAAAAAATAATGTGATATTTACAGGCTACTGCTTGTTTGTTGGGCAATACTAGTAACATCTCTACTTCGAATGGATGAGATTTTTTGTTTCCTTGGTAAGATTCAATGCAACGATTTTCAAGAACCAACGAAACTCCCCATTACAATTTACAGGGACATAAACATTATTTGTCAGGTGCGAAGGCAGTCCACCAGGTATACGAAACCCTTTGGTAGTGCCAACGATTTCACTCTCATTTTTAGGAACAACACTAGCAATGTCAATGTATGTCTTGAAAAAACAATTAGTAATGATATATCAATATTTAGAATGACTATGTTGCTTCGACTTCTTTCGCAAATAGTATAAAATGACCTCCACATGTTGCATAGATGCATCAAACAAGTGCATTTTTGTATCAATTAATTTGTTTTTGGTCATGTCTCAATTAAAAGATAAAAGTGTGCCTGAATTACCTTATCAGTCCTATACATATTGGGTTGATATATTACGTAGAACCAATTATTTTTCTTTGGAAATGTAACTACAAAATCAAGTTGTTTTAACTCAAGATTTGAGCAATTGGCTAAGTAGTGATCGTCTTTGTCTCTTCTGCAATTGTGTAATCATTATAAATAAATATTTAGTTGACAACAAGAAGAAATACTAACAATGATTGAAAGACTTTACTTTTTTGCATGATAAATGTAAATAACCTCATTTATCCATTTTCGAGAATGATGACATTAGTTCAGTTGTACCCTCTCCGTCAATGTTGAAACCTTCAAATGGATATTATTGCTTCACATCACAACATAGACTTTGACTTTCTTCTCTTTCTCTTTCTCTTGATATGTATCTATCTGCTTCTCATTTTGGTTCTCCTCCTTTGCCTTATTCTCCTTCTCCTTCTCATTCTTTTCCTTGTTCTCCTTCTCTTTCTTCTCACTGATTATAGATAGTGATTATAAAATATATTTTTCAACCTCCTACACTTTTAAGGTTGTGAAATCTTCTTCGATGTATGGTATCAATATTATAAGTCATTTTCTTACAAATATCAATGATTTTTTTAACACGATTGATAAAATAACCATGTTGATGCTCACATTCTTTGCATATACAAAAAGAGCAAGTGATATTAGAAGAGGAAGCAACACCAATAAAAGTTTGTGTTATTCTCATGGATGAAGCTTCTTGTATCATTTCATCTACAAGATGAATATAAAAAGTTTGAGAGTTTACAATTGATTATAAAATAATAACGGCTAGCAAATAATATCATATTGACATAGATGTACCTTCTGTTGTCACGAATGAATCTGCTTTGGCCACAGATAAATCTTCATGTGGCACAAATGATTCTTCAGTTACTACAGATGACCATTATGTTGCTCTAACACATAGGTGATATGTTCCAACATATCACAACTTTGTTAGAACATATGTCAACATATCACTAAAATGTATCAACATATGACACATCGTTCAAAAAAAGAAAATATTTGTTGGACAACTAAATAAGACTATTTTTCTAAAATCATATGAACAAAATGGTCACTAATAGAACAACAAAAGCAACAAAAAATGATTTTTCACTCAACGTTAACAATACATATACATTTTCTTGAAATTAGGGTTTTTTTTGGTTTGTTGATTTTCTTTCAAAAAATAAATAATAGGAACAATTACACCATTATTCAATTTTCACATATAGAACGATTTATTGATAATTAGCCCAAGAAAAAAAAACATAGTATTGTTCGAAAAATGTAAAATCATTCAAAAAATGACTTACCCATTTTAGGTAGAACACAATCTTCAGCTTAGAAAGAAAAGACAGTCACAACCGGAGATGAGGAGGAAGACAAGATAATGGGGGGAAATATTTATTTGGATATTTGGATTTTTGGAATTTTTGAAAGAAGAAGAAGAAGAGAAGAGAGAACGTTGGGAGAAGAAAAATAGAAAATTCCATTTTTTGTTACTTTTAAAAAAAATTATAGTTTGGATAGAATTATAAAAGTTGATAAATGAATTTTTTTTTTATTTACTAAAAGATTAGAAAGTTTTAAAAATGTTAATTTGGTCCCAAAAATGCTTATTACATTTTAAAATAGATTTGACGGTGCCTGGTCAAAAGGGTCACCAAAAACAAAAACTAACACTTAAGTGACACCTTTCATTTAATTTTCTCAAGATACATACACATCAATTCCAAAACCGACCCCCTTATGTTTTCTTCTTCTTCTGTCAGTGAGGAACACAACTAAATTCCAGAAAATCCTGGTAAACTCGAACCTGCAGTAGCCGCGTCCTATCCCCCTTTTCCCCCTTTAGAAAGATGCCTCTCTTCCATAGTTGCCTCAAAAAAGGGCACATGAATTGAAATTTCAAATTTGAAAAATTCATCTATTTATCCCTCTTTCAATTCTAATCTCAGCCTATAAATATTAGAGGTTTTTGAGTTTGGTTCTAAGATCACCGCAAGAATTTTCTTAGCTCTGCATTCGTATACGAAATTCGTGGTGGAAATTTCTTTTTGGTCAAGCTTTTTGTCCCGGAACGCTGCTTCGGAAAAGGTAATTTCACCTTTCCCTTGCATTCCGTTTCTATATAGTATGTGTTATGCGTCCGATATTTAGCGGAGTTGTGTTGTCAAGAGTAGTTTTCTTCCTTGTTTAGTCTTTTGCTTGACTTCGTCTTTTCTGTGATGATTAAAAGGATTGTTATCATGAGTCAAGCATTAGTGTAGTTACTTTGATATTCTATATGGGTCGTTATGTTTATTAGCTCGAATTTGTATCCATGTAACTAGTCGAATCTCTGCCTCGCAATTTGCTGCTTATTGGTTTCAATTTTGTTTCTTGTCGTGTTTAAATGTTCAATTTTCGGCAGCTTACTCATCTAGTGGTAGTGTTAGCATATTAGTGTTTATGCATTTAGTATCAACTAAAAATGTTCTGTCTTAGCTTTTGTTGTTAGTGTCATCTGTTAGCATTTATATACTTTATTATTTATTAAATGGATTGGATAGTATATGTATTTTCATGGACTTTGAAAGTGCTAACATTAGTTTAAGTAACCATTTGTTTTATCATTAGCATGCGTTTAACTCTTTGGAATTCGTACTCCTCACCTAGATCACTTTTTAATTCAATCGAGTCACTTTTGATATATTAGTTTAAGAATTTCTATGATTTGCCTTAGATTTAATTATTTCGCTATTATTTCAGATACTAATCATTATTATCATTTTGTTGCATGTGATGTCATCCAAGTTCACTTTGGACTCTACTCATGCATATCTTTGAGTCGTTTTGACATCCAAGTTCACTTTGGACTCTACTCATGCATATCTTTGAGTCGTTTTGAATCATCCTCATATTTACAGTGAAAGAGAAGTTGAAACAGGCAATGAAAAGTCCCAAAATGGGATGTATACATGTCATATACAACAGTATACACCGATATAAGTGGTGAATATTGAAATACAGGTCCGAAAATCGAAATGCAGGTGCTGGAAGTTGAAGTGGGTTGCATACATTTGTATACATACCAAGATACAGGAAATGGGACTGATATATGAATTGTATACACTGATTCAACTTGTGTACAAAAACAGGAATTGGTATAAAGTCCAAAAGGAACATCTTTTGCCCAATGTTTCTGGGCAGCAATAAGCTCAAAAAGCCCAAATTATTATTCGATCTCTTTATTATTTAATGGGAAATTTTTTAAAATGTCAATATTTTAACACTTAAAAGAGCTCATTAGCAACATTTTTAATATTTAATAAAAATGTCAAAATTTTAGTTTGTTATGTATCTTATTTATGTTTTTATTATTTGTTTTTATTTAAAGAATAAAATTATTTGATAACAAAAGGGGAGAAAATCAAGGGAGAGAATATTTCAAAAAATGGTAAGGATCACTTAATTTTCTCATCAGTTACATTTTCAAAGAACACAAACTTTGTTCTTCTTTTTTCTCCAGAATTTTAAACTTTTTTAAATTGTATTCATTCCACTATGTATTCTATTTATATTCATTATAGTTTTATGTTGTATCTTTTACTAGTTTGTATTCATTTCAATAGGTATGTCAAATGAATCTATAGTTATTTAATAAAGGGCAACTTTCACATATAGCAAATAAAAAAATCATATATGTATGCTATCAAAGTTTGCATAATTGCGCTCCATAGCAAACCTAGAAACTGCATAATTCGCTATACATATACAGTTGAAGCAAATTGTATAAAACAAAGTGTATAATATAAGAAAGAGAAAGACATTTGGGCGGAGAACTGTATAAAAACAAAGTGTAAAAAATGAATTGTATTATTATAAGTGTATAGAACGATTATATACAATTTGAATTTGTATAAAATGAGAAAGAGAGAAAGACAAAAGAGACTTGACAAGGAATATAATTTAATCGAATTGTATAAAATGAGAAAGAGAGAAATTAGATACAATTTGAAAATTGTATTAAACGAGAAAGAGAGAAAGGCAAAAGAAACTGGTAGGGGAGTATTTTTATTGTATGATTATAAGTGTATATGACGAAAATATATGTACTTGCATGTGTATATACAATTTTCTCACACTTTATACAAACAGAAATGCAATTTATACATTTCGCTTCTGTTTGTATAAGTGAGAAAGGCGAGGGTGACGAGCGAGATTTGGGGGAGTGGCGAGCGAGATCTGGGAGAGGAGAGAGAGGGGAACAAAAATATATGTATTTATACAATTTTCTCTGCTTTATACAATTAGAAACAATTTTTATACACTTGTGTTTGTATAAAAAGTGAGGAAGCGAGCGAGAGATTGGAGGAGAGTGGCGAGCGAGATATTCGGGAGAGAGGTGAATGACAATTTTTTGCAAAAGTTTGCTATGGAGCACAATTAAATCAAACCATAACTAGTCCATTTATTTTTTATTATTAGTTTGCTATTATATACAATTTTCTCTTTAATAAACATATTTGTATTCATATATTTTTTCCATGTCTATTTATTTTTTTCTTTCAAAAATCTTGTATTTCGTATTTATTTCAATTTGTATTTTTTTGTATTTCTGTTTGTTCTAATTTTTATTTAGAACTTTGTATAGTAATATATAAAATACAAAAAAAAATAGTATGATGAAAAAGTGAGAATGAAATATAAAATTGAAAAGGAATAAATGAAAATTTGTTGTAATCATTCTTAAATAAAATATATAACTAGTTGACATACCTTTAGAATAAATCTAATTTTGAAAAAAATACCAAATTTATAAACTATGCAACATAATTTATAAATGAATACAAATGTTAATTGTATACATACGATTTTAAATAAAAATTGAGAAAGGATACGAAATTCTGAATCTTTTTTATACAAAAAACAAAAGAAACTAATAGGAGGTTGTTCTTAATATAAATAAAATACATATGTAGTTTGTCTACATTTGAGATTGATTCAATTAGGAACAAATACAAGATTCATAAATTATACAACATGAGATTTTGAATGAATACAAATATTAATAGCATATATACTAATTTGAATATTAGTTGAGAAAGGATACAAAATTCTAAGAAAAAATTATAAGTACAAAATAAACTAATATGAAATTGTTCTTGGTCATCAATATACGAAATTGCTCTTGGTCTTCAACAAGTTTTTTTGAAATTTTCAGGCACCCAAAAAAATTCATTTATATTTTACTGATAGTGTATTTACATAAATATTGCACAGTGTACATAACAAGAAATTTACAAATATATTCAATACACATTATTGAATAAATAGTTCTTAAACTTCAACTCAACATGCAAAAATCTAAACATGCAAAAATATTTAAATACCTCTTCATCAACAATTTGGTCTTCTCCGTCATTTTCATGTACCCTACGAGTTACATTTTCAATCCAAATTTGATGAAGACTTTGTTCTTGTCGTTTGTTCTTGTCGTCTCTCTTCCTTCATTTTAGAAGTAGATCTTATAATATCCGTTATTTCTTGAGTAATACATAGATTAAATGATGAAGAAATCAGCTACATCCAGATGCATAGACTTAACATGTGCTTCTGTATTATTATTCATCTTATGCATAGGCTCAACATTATCTCCAGAGATAAAGTTTGCTTCTGGATTATTATCACCCTTTCTCAAGGATGCTTGATAGAGCTGAACCAGACACTTAAATGATCTACAAGTACGCAACCAGTGTTTCGTTCCTCCACATATATGACATACACTTTCTGAATTTTTCTTTTATAGCACTTTTTATCTTTCACCCTTCCTTTTATTTTGCTGGACATTTTTAGGTGCAAGACGATCATCATGATTATGATTTATTTTACGACCACGATCACGGCCATGATCGGAGCCACAATCATGATAGGAGTCGCGACCTCTTTCTCGTTGGTGATAATTTGTCTAATTCACTTGAGGAAGTTAAGTAGAACCAAGAGATCGACTTTCATGATTTTTTATCAATAGGTCGTTATGTCCTTCAGCAATAAAAATATGTGAAAGTAACTCATTTCTCGATATTGTTGTTGAGGAGCATACTCGAGCAAGAAATATGGAGTATGTTTTCTCAAGCTTATCATGTTTAGTGACCTCTTCTCCGCATAATTAACTGTGATATAATTCTATACATGGAGAAATTATATTCAATTTTACTTTTAAAGTCTAATAATCTTAGATAAAACCAATCATGACGCGCCTGTGGAAGAACGACTGACTTCAAGTGTTCATATCTATCTTTCAAATTTTTAAGTACAAGGGGGTCTGTAATAGTGAGGTATTGCATTTTCAACCCCTCGTCAAGATGGTGATGGAGAAATATCATAACTTTTGCACGTTCTTGACTGGATTCCTGGTTATCTTCTTTGATAGTTTCTACCAGACCCATTGCATCTAGGTGGTTTTTAGCATCTAGTGTCTAGGATGAGTATCCTTTGCCCGATATATCCAAGGCAAAAAATTCAAGTATAGAAATATTAGACATTTTTTAGAAAAATAAAATTATTACCCTTTTTACCTATTTGAAGTAGCTCAAGTTGACAAAGTATCGTGTTGATAACGTGTTATAAAATAACTAGCTAATAAAATAATATTAATAAACTAAATTAATATGAAGAACTAACAAACAGAGAGCATAATAATATATTTCAAACTTTTTCTTTTATATCTTCCTTTGTGAAGAAAACAATGAGTATTTATAGGTAATAGGAAAATATAAACTAAATACTTGACCATTGATAATTTATTCATTTGGCCAAGTGATTACACCTCAAACATGGGTGACCCCACATGTCATCATTACTCTATTATATAAGCAAATAGATTTGGAACGAACACAACACTAAAACCTTGTATGGAGAGTTACATATATTGTTAGTAAACTTAGGACAAATAGGGACAAATTAAAGATTTTAAAATTTCTATGTCCTTCTTTAATAACGAACAAATGTTCCATTTGGCATGTACATCAGACAAGTTTATGACTAACTTTTTGCATCAATACTCCATGTTACCATTTCTCTACCAAAAATACATTGCATATTTCTTTCAATCAGCCATTAAACCCAAAATCCAAGAATCTTTAATTCAAACACCATCAAACAAACCATCTGTTGACACCCAATATTGACCGACCTTTAACCATTTTTAGGAATACTATTCAAATAAATACGTATGTTAAATTTTTTAAAAATTTAAAATTTTAGTCGATGTTTGTTGAAATTTATATATTTTAGTATCTTTTATTTTATAAAATTATCGTAAATATTATTAAAATATTTTAAAATTATTAATGAATTTCAAATGTTTTAAAAAATAATGGATTTTCAATTATATAAAAATATTTTAATATATGTAGTATTTTAATTAAATAGTAATTTCTACACTTTCTCTAAATTTTAAATTCTAGCCTATTCTGTCATAATTTCTTTCAATTCTAGCCACTTGAATTCGAGTTTATTTCAATCATAGCCACTCTTTCATTTCAATTCTATCCAAATTTTATTACAATTTTAGCCATTTCAGATCCAATCAAATCTGATTTTTAAATGTCATCTTTTAATCTCATTCGTCCATTTAAATAAATAAATCCTAGATTGAATCCTAGCCCTTTAGATTAACGGTTGTGATTAAATTCCTTTTTCTTCTTGATTCCAATATACTAAATATCAAAACCTATAAAATTTTATTCTTCTCTCTCCTCTTCCTCTCCAGCCGCCTCTCCTCTCCTCCCTTCTTCTCTCTTCTTTCTCCCTTTCCCCCTTCTCCTCTCTTCTCCCGTCGTCCCCTTTCCTTCCTCCTCTTTCTCCTTCTTTTCTTTTCTCCCTGCAGGTTCAGCAGACCGCAAAATCCATTATCCTCTCTTAATTTATTCTTACTTATTTATATTTGATAATGAAATATTTTTAAAACTTTCTGATTTGGTCCTCTTTCATAATAAGGAAAATAGTATATTTAATTGATTCCTTTAAATATTTCTTTTCCTTATTTGTTTCCCCCTCTTTGCTATATAAATAAGACCCCCTCCCTTCATTATTTCATGAACTCATACACTCATTCACTCTCAATCACAAGTTCTCTCATCACTCTTCCTTCTCTCATTGCTCTCTTGCTACTCTAACAATACATTAAGATTCCGGTAAACATTCAAGTGTTCTTCTTCACTATTTTGCTATTTTGCTTTTGTTCGAGTAAAGGTTGGATCAATTTGTTTTTTCATTGCTA